TGAGGTCCGACAATGTACCTAGTACATATTGACGACCACCATAGATTGCCCCGAACCTCATGCATCACTTCGTGCACATACTCTGTCAGCTCAGGTATGCCGTACTCTACGAGTTGTGAGCCGTAGTTAATACACGCATACCATTGATAGTGCACTTCGGCCACCATCTGGTCGATGGCCTGTTGACAGTGCCAGCCCTGGTGTGCCATTAACAGGTACAGGTAACTGTATTTACCCTGATCCTTCAACACTTCCGACTTGACTGAGTAGATCTCGTTAACAATTATTGAATGTTTGGCCGCCGATTTGTAAAATGCGATATAAACAGGGTCATTCATTAGGCCGTATTTAACCGAGTCCAAATTATTGCATTGCTCCATAAATATATAAATTATATCAGCCGCGCAGTCCCGCTCTCTATATTGATTGTGGTGATTAATAAATTAAACATGCGTTTTGTAATTCTCTCTCTCAAACCTACAGCCGTACTCTACGAGTTGTGAGCCGTAGTTAATACACGCATACCATTGATAGTGCACTTCGGCCACCATCTGGTCGATGGCCCGTTGACAGTGCCAGCCCTCGTGTGCCATTAGCAGGTACAGGTAACTGTATTTACCCTCATCTTTCAACACTTCCGACTTGACTGAGTAGATCTCGTTAACAATTGTTGATTGTTTGGCCGCCGATTTGTAAAATGCAATATAAACATTGTCATCCATTAGGCTGTATTTGACCGTGTCCAAATTATTGCATTGTTCCATAAATATATAAACTAGATCAGCCGCGCAGTCCCGTTCCCTATATTAATTGTAGTGATTAATATCTAATAATTAATCTCTCTCTCTCTCTCTCTCTCTCATCTCTCTCAAACCTACCTCTGATACCAATACTCTTCATAAGTCATAAGTTTGTTATTAAACTTTGTCTGATTGGCGGTCAGGTATGTGCCGATCCAACCGACGCCATACATCACGTGTCGTACAAACAGGTCTGGTCTCAGCATTTGTTTAATTAGTTTCATAGATTTGACGAGCATTTTGTCGAAACCAGTTGTGCCGTCACTTTCGCCCAACAAATACTTCTTCTGCCACTCGCTATACAGTATATATACAATAAAAATAAGGCTTTAAATCATAATACGTGCATAATTTACTCCAATTTTAATAACCCTTCCCCTCTCATTACAAATACCATATAACATGTCTGCCCTCGCCGTCGCCCACCATAACTTGATCCAGGTAATCGTCGAGCATAAAGGCAAATATGGCCCAATAGTTAATGGTGTAAAAATACAGCGCGTTTTTAGTCTTAAAGCACATCTCCTGAAAGCCGGTGATGTCTACGCTGTCGACCACTGGTTTGCCAAACGCTTCGCTCAGCATTAGGTTAGTGTCGGCCAAAGTGTTTGTGTGATGAGGAATGCGCACAATCTTCTCGCCGACGAGACCCCGGATCTCAAACGACATGAGCATATCGTGGGTCAGGCCTGAGATGTGTCGGGCGTTGGAGTAGTCTTTGTTTTTCAACTCCTCGGGCATCGACTCAATAAAGGTCACTTTTGGTGCCAACTTGGTCAACACGTTGGGCATGGCTGGTTTAAAGTAATTGATTGTTTATAAGCAAACAGTATCTAGGAACATATGAACAAATGGAAGTTGAACCAGTATAAGTCCTTAAACATAGGATAAATGATTAATAACTTGATTACTTGATTGATTACTTAGATATCAATGAATTCTATATTACCAACTTATATTGATTGACTTGTATCAATCATTAAATAAAATTTTATTTGTTATTTCTTATGATTTTATAAATGTTATATCTCTGTCATTAATTTTTCATTATTTACTTATAAATCGCACAAGTTATATTATAAGTTATAATTTATAAGTTATAATTTATAACTATAATAATCAAACGTTATATTAATAAATAAAGCAAAATTAATTTTTACTAAACACCATATTTCCTATTAAATAATTTAATTTTGTTTGTACTCACATAGAATTGGCAATATAAACTATTAAAATAATTATAAATTTTATTATTAAATTTTATTACTTTCAATTAATTAAAATTAATAAAACTCATTTGTTATTGAATGTGTAACAAACATTAAACCTCAAGAAAAATTTTACACGTAAACAGGCTTACAGTTTTTAACCAACATTAATACACCATTAACTGGGTTATGTGGGAGTTTATCACTTTGATCATTATAATCTTGTCCTATATATTATGGAAAATGCTGTTTGAAATCAAAGATGCCATATATGACGTATGTACTGTATATTTAAACTAGATACAATTATGACTATGGTCATTTTTACGGCACAGCATAAGCCGATTGGAGACGTGACGTACAGCCGAGAGATGGGTTACCCCAACACGTGGTTTATTGTAATGGATTCGCGAGAATTGCCCGTAAATCAGGTGAAGGCCTTTGAGTTATGCGGACAACTCCCCGTTTCTTATGGAGAGGTTGCACTGTATTGAAATTTTAGTTAAAAATGTTACATATGTGTATAATATTTGACTAAAAATAAAATATTTGACGTGCAATTATTTAGTTGTATAAAAATAATAGTTTAACTAATACTGGCATATATATTTATCTATGTATTATTTTTATTGTTTTATGTTTACGTAATATAATTATACATATGTAATTAAGATGTTTATCTAAAATAGTCACAAAAAAAGTAATTGTCAAGTGGTTGAGGCCAAAAAAGTAATGGCCCTGGGGCCAAATATAATGGCCCCGGGGCCGGGGCCAAAAAATTGCCCCGGGGTCTATTTAGATGTACTTATATTTAGATGTATTTGAGTACATCTAAATAGACCCCGGGGCAATTTTTTGGCCCCGGCCCCGGGGCCATTATATTTGGCCCCAGGGCCATTAAATTTGTACAATAATTATGGTTTTTATAATTTTTATATTAATTATAACTTGTCAAACTAATACTGTGCGTTTGCTATTTAATTTAAAGGTGTACGGGGAAGATTAACAACTGGATTTATAATAAACACTGCGGTTTGATTTGAATTCCGTTGCGTATACTTGTTATACACGGAGACAATAGATTCAACACACAGGTTGGGCACCGATATTAGCGATACGCCAAACCACAGGCCAAATATACTGGCAATTAAACACAAAAATTCAGAAAAATACAATTTCGGGGTTTGTCTGTAGGTGTGAACAGGCAGTGATGGGCGCGCTATCAATAACCTTTCGACCAATTGCTGAGTCGATCGGTTAGTGTTAGGCCAGGGTTCTGATGTCTCCTTTTGGACAGTATAGTACTCTTGATAACAGTCAGGCCTATCACCGCAAACACCTTTACAGTCAACTTCTTGTGCGTTTGCACTCATATTGTTTGCATATTGTAACCCGAGTTTGCGGTCATAAACGAGATAATCGTCGGGCACTGGTATACCAGTACTAACAATATAATCAAACTGGCATTTGCTAATACAATCAAAGTGATAATTATTATTAAATTGATTACGGTTCACACAACCTGGTTGGTACGGGAGTGGCAACAGCTCTATCACAGTTTTCTGGTATTCCAGTATGATGGTGTTAAATTTGGTGCTGATATATTTAAACCCAACTTGCTGTTTGCGATATACCCGCCTGTTTCGCGAGTGAATGTGCATGATTATCTCATTGCCTAGCTCGACATCATTCAAACTAATTATGGTATTATATTTCGACTCATGAGTAACTAAATCCGTATCAATCATATACCGGGCGTCTGACTGGCCGTCCAGTTGCGAGAAAAATGTCCGACAATAACCAAAATTGCATATTGACTGTCGGACGGGTGTAATCTCGTCGCACAACACATTAAAATATGTATCATTGGTAATTAATGCACGTGGTGTTAATACTCGACATTCGCCCGTCAATTGTTCCGGTACGTTTAGCGCTCTGAATTGTTGCGCTATGGTCAGTTTGTCTAAAAATGTATTATATACATTTTGAATTTGGTTTTCATCATACTCAGGTTTTATTGCACGTGATAATATTTTCTTATACTTTGGCCGTATATATAAATATTTGTCGGCACATATGGTAAACGCCGGCAACAATATGACTGTCTGTGTCTCGATGTGGACGTCAGTTGTTGTCTCGTATAAGAGATAATGTGTTAATATATCAGTTAATTGAATAATACATCCGATTAAACATATGAATCGGGAAATATACGTGTAATTCGTAATTATTTTTATTGATTGTTTTATAACTGCACAAATATATATTTTAATTATACGTATAATATGCATTTTAATTCAAATTATAATTATTCTTGATTGAGTTTTCAAATCTATTTGACGTTTTAATAAAATAGTTAATGAATAAGTGAAACTCTATACATAAAGTAACCATAGTAATAATAAAATAATACATCACATATCAATAATTTCATTAAAGTTTGGGTGGAAACTTTTTTAAATTAATTAATTTCAGTTTTACTATATATTGATACTGCAAATATTAATATAATAATAATATACAGTGCTGCCTTTATTTTATCATATGGAAGGTTTTTTTGTACCGGTGAATGATATTAGTATTGTTAATGTACCCGATTTTAGCAAAATCCGATTTGAGAACGTTTTTACAGCACTGATTACAAACCAAAATTGTGGTTTAACTGAATACTAAAAAAATCTAATTAACGTATTATTGGGGTGTAACTTAGAAATTGCAAATATATTTTGAAATAAAATGTTTATATTTAGATAGTCTAACATTTGTATGTACATTGGATTTAGTTTTATGTACAAGATTTAAAAATAAAAATTAACTTAGTGATCCAAGTGGTTGCCAATTATCTGATCTATATATTGTTTAAATTAATATAACGATGCTTTCCAAAAACGTGGAAATTTGTTCAAGGTAACTTTTGTATAAGAAATAATCATTGGAATCAAAAGAAATTTTATAGGATGAATGAGTATTCATCTATGTTTAATTTTATATAATTATATAATTTTTATGTCTATTGGTTAAGAAATGGTGGACATCTTAAGACAGTGATGTGTAAATTTGCTTTGGCACTTTAATAAATCAATGTAAAGTTCAATGGAGTTTTACATTGAAATATATTTTTTTGCGTAAATATTTTTATCATTAAATTTATTTTTAAAAATTTATAGTTTAAGTGTATTTAACCATTCGTCCACATTCTTAAATTAGTCCCGCGAAGAACATTCTTCAGAAATAAATCTCGGAGTTGCAAATCAGCTAATTTATAGGAGGGTTAAGGTGGCAGCACTTGGTAATAAGTTTATGATCAAGTTTGTTTACGTCATTGACATGACGTAATGTATGGTAAGCACGTTAGCCAATCATTAACATCAAGCATTTAAACTTTGTTTATTGTATAAGTTTTACATTTAAAACATATTTTGGACACAATTATCGCAATTATCTTAAATTTCAAGCAATGAGTGAATCAATGGTTAATAGGTTTGCCATCGCATTGAATGCTGTGATCGCCGACCAGTCTATTGGTCGCAACGATTTGCAGACAATTGTCGAGACATTGATCACAATCTACAAGAGTTTGACCACAAATGCCGATCCCATTCATCACACGCTGAACACCAAAAACAAGACATTTGTGGCCAGAGTGTGGCGACACGAGTCCGCCCAACGACTTCTTGATGCCGGCGGTTGGAACCGATCACTTGATGATCACACGATCGCATTGAACGACAAACACACCGCCGATGACGTGCGCCGGTGTCTGCAGCTGTTGGTCGAGCGCCACGACATTAGACCCGACGCTAACGATTGGATCAATTGTGGTAAAGAGTTCGCCAATCCTAAGGCCGAGAGAGAGCGGGCGTTGAAAGAGACGGCCGATCAGCAGAGACTCAAAGACTTGGAAGAGTTCCAGAAGAATAAGGCGGAGACCAAACTGTTGGCGGATTACACGAACTCTTTGCGCACAAACTCTTCGGTCATCGGTTCCCAGTCCGTAGACAACGAAGACATTGTATGGCATTAAACATATGGTTTTGTCAATGTTTTGATTAATTTTTATTTAATTTTTTTAAATAGATGTTAAAAACGCGTAAAATATTAACACAAATCCTATTAGAAGTGACAAACAATGAAATAGAGACCATCGCTAACGATGTCTACAATATAGCGCTAAATAGAGGTATTTGTTATGCAATTGCTTCTCAATTAATTAATTATTATATTTCAATTTTAAAATATAGGTGAAGATTATATCGCATTCAATATTTTTAATATGAATAATTTTATTAATAATAATAATCACCATTTTCTCGGTCAAATAATAAATAATAAATTAGTTAAATTAAATTTTTTAAATAATAAAAATAACAACAAGTTTAATAGTATATTAACGTATGAATATACTAAACAAGATAATAGTGAAGTAATAATATATCAAGCATATTCTGATTATTTTTATACTAAAAAAAGTGCAAAAAATGATTGCAGTAAAAAAGTTTTAATTAAAATATTGAATAATAATTTGTATTTAAATCACGTGAGTAATTTATATATGTTGTTATAATGTATACATTATTTATAATT